GAAGATGATGATGATTCCGTACAATAACAATAGGTGATCCGCTAGTGTAGCGGATCACCAATAAAGCGTTAGCAACGTAGCCTAGTAACCAATATAGTACTACTATACTGAGATAGGAGACAGCACACTCCCCGCCTGGTATACAGAGGATACCACTACTTCTAAACAATTAAACTTTAAAGGCGAAATCTTAAACAGTACTAAAAATATTTAAGTTAAACTCTTTAAAACATAAAAAGTTCTGCATTTCCAAAATTACGAAAATAATAAGATAAGGCCTAATAGATTCATATTGGGACAATATCTAACACATGTCTTCAACGGGGATGAGCAGGATCAGTTCATGCACTGGTCGTGAAGTATCTTGGTAGAAGAACCATCCCTGCAAACTTTTATATCCACTTTGCGCACCAACTTGTCGCTACTCTCGATAGCCTTTGTGACTCTACCCATTGGCCAGTTGTTTCGATGGATCTCCTTCTCTTTAATTAAGACGAGGTCTCCTTCCTTCATGCAGCGGTTGACACGGTGCCACATTCTTCTTCCTTGTAGGAGTGGAAGGTATTCGTTTTTCCATCTTGACCAAAAGGTGTCAGCTAGGTATTGAACCCTCCTCCATTGTTTCCCAAATAAATCGTTCTTGGAGTAGTTGCCAGTAGGAGCCCCTGCGAGTTTTTGTGTTAAAATCATATTATTTTGGTGTCAAAACGTCTGGTGATTGAGGATCATTCGGAACTGGTGTAAGTGGTCTGGAGTTCACGATTGCTGTCACCTCGGCCATAAGGGTAGTTAGAACTTCATGGGTTAGTTGAATCGGACCAAATTCAGCAAACATATTGTCTAGGATGCGCCTAGATATGCCTATCATCCTTTCCCATGTTCCCCCCATATGAGATGAATGGGGAGGATTGAAAATCCATTGACAATTATTTTCAAGGAGGTACTTCTTGATCTTCTGGTCAGTAACGTCCAAAGGTATTCCAATCTCGTTACAGGCGCCGACGAAGTTCGTCCCACAGTCAGAACGAATTTGTTTTGCCGGTCCCCGGATGGCTAGAAATCTTCGCAATGCATTGATAAAACTTGACGCTTCCATGGATTCTGTAACCTCAATGTGAATAGCACCGCATGACATACATGTGAATAGGACAGCCCATCTTTTTCCTCGTGCTTGACCTCCTCTGGTTTTGCGTGTGGACACGACCCAGGGCCCGAATACGTCGAGGCCTGCATATCTAAATGGGGGTGCAGGGGAAAGCCGCTCGACAGGTAGATCTGCCATCTTTTGAATCTGTTCTTTGCCTCTGCACTTTCTACATCTAACGCACTTGTCGATAATACTGATAACCCTACTCTTCTCTCCAACAATCCAATATCCTGCACTTCTGATTGCTCCACGTGTGAGGTGTCTCCTTTGATGCTTAACTTGTGCGTGATAATAACTGATTAATAAGTCAGATACATAGTGGGATCCTGGAATAATTATAGGATGAGCAGCACGTTCTCCAATTCCAGCATTACTGAGGCGCCCACCGACACGAAGAAGCCCTTTGTCATCTATATATGGATCTAGCTTAATGAGTGGACTCGCCTTTGGAAGTGGTCGTCGGCTTTCTAACAGGTCCAATTCTGCTTTGAACACAGTATACTGGGTAGTGCGTATAACAATTTGACTTGCCTCAGCTAAGTCGTCTGGTGTGGTTGATGACGTGCAAATATGCCAACCTTTGAAGCTTTTAGGTTGTGTTGGCTTGTTGCCGAATGAACGTGTTATATGGAGTAGGTCATTTATTGCTCGTAAGAGTTTGAACCAATCAGAGAACCTGTGAAACCTTTCTGCTCCGAGTCCCGAGCTTGGCTGCAATTTTGTAGAATAAGTCTTAACCACGGGTCTAACTTCGGGGTCTTCTTCTTGAATTGGAAATTCGGTTGGTTGAATATCTGCTGTAGCGCCTTTGTTACGGAGAAATTCAGGGCCTTTTAGCCATTCAGAAGACGCTAGTCCAGACGAGGTAATACCGCTAGAAGGCAGGTCGGCTGGATTCTTGTCTGACTGTATATAACGCCACTGTACTGATTGTGTGGTGTTGAGTATACGCTCTACTTTGTTGCTAACATATACATAGAATCGCCTGGTTTGATTTGATATATATCCGAGTACTACCCGGCTGTCCGAATAGTAAACCATCTCGTCCAATTTTAAGTCGAGTTCGTCGGAAATAAAGTCGGCTATTTCTGCGCCCAACACTGCAGCGCAAAGTTCCAGTCTTGGTATTGTAGTCGCTTGCTTCGGAGCTAAATTTTGCTTTACCAAGTACAAAACTCACATGGATGTCTTCATTTGCGTCGATCACTTTGAGGTAGCTGACGGCTCCAATAGCATGGGTCGACGCATCAACGAATTTATGTAATTCACGCATTTGCTTGGGTACTTGGAACAGGTGTGTATGCTCGAGGAATGTAAGTTTCTGCCAAGATGGGTAAGGATGCGCGCCAATTGCGCCATGCTGACTGTGTGTGTTCGGGCAGAGGATGATCCCAATCAAGAGACTTTTCTATAGAAAACTAGACAGTTAACTATAGCAGGAAAAATAATATTAATTAAGACATTTGCAATATCCCAATTTATTTATTTGGCTTCGGTTATACATATTCCGCCCCACGTGGTTAAAACAATTGAAACTATTTTATATGATTTTATATGGAATAGCGGAAAGGGTATGGTCAAAAGGACCACATTAATTGGAAATATTGAAGAAGGAGGTTTAAATATGGTAGATGTAAAAAGTATGTTCAAAGCATTGAAAATAAAATGGATACAACGTTACAATGTAAATGACAATGCAGCATGGAGGTCTTTATTACATGCATTTTTGAATGAGCTAGGCGGTGACATTGTTTTCTATTGCAATATAAGTGCTGATTGTGTTCGTCGTTGGAAAAATATTCCTATGTTTTATAAAGATATGCTTAATGCTTATTTTGAATTAGTAACCCCTAATACAGCTAATGAGGGGTCACAATATATATGGCATAATCGAAATATACTCGTTGATGGTAAACCACGCTACTATAAACGACTCAATGAAATTGGTATATGTTTAGTTAGTGATCTCTTTTATGAAAATGGTAAAATCGTCCCTTTCAATGCATGGTTAGGAAAGGGTTTAAGCACTAGTAATTATATGCACTGGAGAAAGATTATATCAGCAATACCAACACAATGGAAACAAAATATGAAATCAGGATTTTTACGAAAAGGGTATAAGGAGGGGTTTTATAGTAAAAGGGTTGAAAGAAGACAAAGATTTAGAATGTATGAGTACAAAAAATATATACAGAGTCTTAGTAGAAAGAATATATCAAGCACCAACATCACAAGATAAAATGCAGAACCGATTTTGTGTCGATAGCGACAAATGGAGGGGTATTTATAAATTACCATTTAATTGCTCACAAGAGACAAAAATTAGGATCTTTCAGTATAAAATAAATATGAATTATCTGCCAACTAATAGTAGATTATTTAAACTGAAGATTATAAACAACGACATGTGTTCCTACTGTCATTCACGTGTTGAAACAATGTCACATCTATTGGTTGAATGTAATATTGCAACAGAATTATGGGATAAGTTTAGCCAATGGTGGGAAAACATATCAAACACAAAGATTAACCTAGACCACAACTCTATATTATTTGGTTTTAATACTGAACACCCTCATCTGCTATTAAATTTATGTATTTTGTTAATTAAAAAAATAATATTCAGTTACATATTTGCACAAAGAAAACCTTTGTTTCACGTCTTTTTGAATCGCTTAAAATTTAATTATAAAGTTGAAAAAAATATTGCCTTTAAAAGAAATACAATACTTAAGTTCCAGAGAAAATGGGAGCTATTAAAGGATAATTTATAAAGAACTCTCTTAAAAATTGTGTGAAAAATGTTAATCAGCAAATTTTGTGCTTTTGGGTACTGTGTAAAAAAAAGAGAAAATAATAGGAAAAATGTATTTATTTGTAATTGTGTAATTTTAAATTCAACAACTTATTGTTAGTGATTTAAAGAAATTAGGCTAAATACATAATGTTACCGTAATATCATGATGTATGTATTGAAATTAGTCTTTTTTAAATAAGTTAATATTATTAAGAATTAAGAAATACAGCATTTGTATTTTAGTAAGAAAATTGCCATTCTCTTGTTTAGTTTAGTTTAATTTATTTTAGTTTTGTTTTTCTAATTTTTTAAATACTTATTTTTTTTATATCAAATCGAATCGTCTTGTATTAATTTCAGTTATAATGGGTTTTTTTTCCCTCGTTTTTGTAACTATTAATGTTCATTGTGTCTTGAAATGAATAAAAAAAAAAAAAAAAAAAAAAAAAAAAAGAGACTTTTCGCTGGTCATCTCTCTCAGCAACAGTTTCCCCTGAATTAGGACTGGAGCAGCAATACCAATAGGATCGTAGATGCTGTTTATTTCGGCTAACACTCCTCGTTTGGTGGAAGGTCTCTCTTCTTCTCCAATTCTGAATGTGAACACGTCACGCTTTAGGTCCCAATATACTCCTAAAGACCTTTGGATTGGAGGTGCTTGTACGTTGAGATCTAGGTCACGCAGGTCTCCTGCGTGGTCTTCGCTGGAAAAGGCTCCCATTACTTCGACATTGTTGGAGGCAATTTTGTGAAGACGCAAATTTGCAGTTGCTAACATTGCCTGAGTGCGTTGTAGCAGGTCAATAGCTTTGTCTGGAGTGGGGAGAGCTTTTAGACCGTCGTCAACGTAGAAGTTACGGTTCACGAATTCTCGAGCATCTTTGCCAAACTTGTCTTCAGCATCCTGGGCAGTCTAATTGCGCAAGCCAAATGTTGCGACAGCTGGTGATGGTGCATTACCGAATGTATGGACTTTCATTCTATAATCCACGATTGCTACATCCGGATTGTCATTCTCGAACCATAGGAATCTAAGGTAGTCTCTATGGTCTTCTTTTACTTGAAATGAATGGAACATTTGCTCTATGTCTGCTATGACTGCGACGACGTCATCCCTGAACCGTAATAAGACGCCTAGGAGGTTATTAGATAGATCTGGTCCAGTCATGAGCACGCTATTTAGAGAGACACCATGATAATCCGCGCTTGAGTCGAATACCACTCGGATCTTGTCTGGCTTCTTCGGGTGGTATACGGGAAAGTGAGGCAGATACCATCGCTCTCCATCACCGTCGGAAACTACTTGTTCCGCGTGACCCCTAGTAATCATGGTTGTCATGAACTGTAGATACTGGTCTTTCATCTTTGACTTTCTTGAGAAAGACTTAAGTAGGGAATGAAATCGTTTCATCGCATCGTGACGGTTGTTAGGTAACGGTGGTCTGGAAATGCGGAATGGGAGTGGAGCGACCCAATTCCCACTCTCACTTTTTGAGAACTCGGATGCCATGATCTTTAAGAACTGTCTATCTTCTATGGAGCTACCGACTTTGTTATCAAACTTGGACACACGAAAAACGTCCTCCCCCGGGTTAGGCCATCGTCTACCAGCATAGTGCGTTTCTGGATCTGGTGGGTGGGCTGGGTGTGAAATGGTTTGTACATGACTCGAAACAGGAAGGACGTCCGTTCGGGAGGACATGGGTACGGAATGTATTGACAGTGTTACTATGGTGCGCTTTTCCTATGCAAACTTCTCCGATCACCACCCAGCCTCTAGTCTAGTCTAGTCGATGTCCCCATGGTGAGTTGTTATGTCCGTTGCGAACTTCACGGACTTTATGGACTTGTGGTGCATCTCGCCCCAGGAGTATTAGTATATCTGCGTCTGGGTCAATTTTCTGAATTTCCTTCGCAATTGACTTCAGATGCGGATGATGTTCTGCTACTTCTGGAGTAGGTATCTCCTTCTTACAATCGGGAATCGCATTACATTCAATTAAGGGTGGAGCAGGTATGGGTACTTGACCGTCGACGGATTCTATAATAAGTCCTGTAATACAACGACCAACTGTGTTCACCACCCCGGAACATGTCTTAAGCGTGTATGACATCGATTCACTTTTAACCTTCAACAGGTCGAACAGCTTGGATTTGGCCAGGGACTTGTTACTTTGATCATCTAGGACGGCATAAGTGGTAATCACGTTTTAAGGATTGCCGTCGATATATACTCGTGCCAAACATATTTTGGAGCAAGATCTTCCAGATGGCTTGTTGCGGCAAACTTGGGTGCATTTCGCTCCCCGCCATGCGCTTCGTCGGCATGTGTGTCAACGTGGAGGAAATCTTTGTGCCGATTACTACCACATATTAAACACGAAACCGTAGCTTTACAGTTTCTTGCAATATGGGCTGTGGATGCCACACACCGATAACAAATCTTTGAATCCCTCAACAGTGAACGTTTTTCCTTCATCGGCATCTTAAGGAACGCTCTGCAATCAGTCAGTGTATGAGGAGTCCTGTGTATAGGACATTTGGTATCTATGTCTATACCATCTGATGCCGGATTGTCATGAGCCTTGGCAACACCAGTCAATTTTGTCAGAACGTTAGTGCGATATGGAGATCTGGCAGGACCACTCAGCCTTCTTGGGTTAACATGTGTTCTCGATTCTACCTCGTGGGTAGACAGCATAAGACTTTTGTCGTTTCGTTCTTTTCCAAAGTCTTTGACAAACTTAGAAAAGAAATTAAATGGTGGGAATTGACCTTCCTTCTGTTCTTTATAGTGGAACGCTTGTGTATTATTAGCATTATGAATCGAAGACCACTCTTCCTCCATACAACGTGTGGGCTCACACATAGCGGAGCGAATTTTGTTCAGCTAAATAAAACTGGAGTTGCAGCTGGTAAATCATACGAAATAATTTTCTAAATCAGGCTGCTACTGGGAACAAACAATATAATGTATAAATCAAATACAGTAGATAATAATTCAGTACTCAAGGGGGCAGCTGGCTTGAAAATGTTATAGTGATTTGTTTGCTTAAGCTGCCCCCGACCATCTTTTGGTCAAATAAATAAACTGAAAAACTCAAGAACATGATGTAATAAATCGTATCAAACATAGTTTTTCAACGAAAGATATAATGAGTGTTATAATGCAAAGTTGAGAAAGTTTTAGAGCCCATGACCCAAAAAGCAACTTGAGGCATGATTTGCTACCGATGGTTTGGCC